AAAAAAAAAAAATTAACCAATTAATCGAATCGAATCGAATCGTGGTGTATTCTTGAGTATTGAAAATAATCGAATCGTTGGGTCAGGAAATCGATACTGAATCGAATCGCCATGATGGGTGTGATTTACACCTCTAATCCCTACCGCTTGGAGTACTGCAAAATGGCGGTCCCCAGCCAAAAAAATAATTAACAACGCTATGTTTTCTCTTTTATAAATTTCTCACATTTGTAAGATGATTACTGAGAATAGAAAGACAAAATCTGGCAAATTATGTTGGTTTGGTCAACTGATTCGTGTCCACTTGAAGTTATTGACTAGCTATAAAACAGCTCTTTATTTTTCAAAAAGTGAGTCAGTATGTCAAAACAACAAAACATCTGAGAGAAAAGCTGGACTTAGGATAGCAATGATACATCTAGCTTCTTTAGGTTAAAAAGGGAGCACTGATGCTGAATGTAGTGCTGGTGAGGAGCTACACTCCAAGAACATTATCTATATACAATTAAAGCTGATGCTGTAGTAAATTCAGCATCAGCTTTATTTGGGAGGTAATTTAAAACCATCTTACAATCAAAAATTACACAGAAATGACTTAAAAGATTCCTCCTTTCTAAAGGGACATGATCAGCACTGAATTGAATGCTAATAAGGAAGGTTACCATGGTAACAAGGGATTGTATTGAGGAAGAGATCTCCTACCTTACAAAGTAAATGAGGCCATTGAGCGTCACGGTTTTTGGAGTGAAGGCCCAGGGAGGCAGCTGTCCACAGTTGACCAACGTCCAGCGGTTGGTGTCCGGGTCGTAGCTCTGGATGGCCATGGTGTCCTCGCTTGTCAGGCAGCCGATGGCGTACAGCCGGCCGTTGCACGCCGTCGTGGCGCAGTTGTCCATGGGATGCAGCATCCCGGGCAAGGCCTCCCAGCAGTCCAGAGCCTGATCGTAGCGCTCCGTGCTGTCCGACGCCACCACGTACAGCTGGCCCTTCAGGACGCAGGAGCTGTGGTATTCGCGCGCCTTCAGCATAGGAGACACCTCCGTCCACTCGTTTACGCTGGACTTGTAACGCCATACGCCGTCGTAGAGGCGGGAGCCATCAGAACCACCTAAAGCGCATGAGCTAATGTTATTTTCCTCAACATATACAGAACAGTTATCCAACTATGGTGAGAAACTTTGTAAATTTAAATATAAAAAATCCGTGATTTTAATCAATAAAAACATTTTAAGTAACTTTGCTGTTTTCTCTGATTTTTTTTCCTTTCATTTTTGACATAAAATTTTGTTTTTACATAATTTCTTTCTATTCTTTTTTTTATGGTTTGCAACCGTAACTCACTACTTGTATCTAGATGATCCATCAGGAAATAAAAGATCGTCCTCTATACCTTTAAATAAAGTTATAATTTAGAATTTCATTAAAAAAGTGCAAAATACTTTCATATGATAAAGGGACCATAAAGAAAAGCATTCAAAAAACAGGAGACTATTTAAGTTCGTTATATTATCCATGAATAAAAGCGTAGCCTTTCTTCTAGTGGCATGGGTGTGCTTGTGTTGCTATAGCCATATGAATCATGTTCTGGTCTCTTCTGCATATTTTTTGCACACTAAGCAACTCATTAGCTTAGCATTGTCATAAATAAGCCTGTCTCTTGGGAAACAGCCTTCCTCAAAGCAACATTTTTCAATAAACCTCCTCTTTGCTCTGCGGACTTTAGATCTTCGCTCCTCCTAGTCTTTTAAAAGGCTTGGTTGCTCCTACTATATAGCGCCTAGTGGTGGTTGTGTTGTTAAATGACGGGGTATTGGGTGGGGTGCTCTCTGTACACTCGTCTATCTATTGGCGTGTGAGGAACAAAGGGACAGAGGGGAATCTAACCATAATAAAAGGAGAAAGTACGTGACTGAAGCTCAACTGTCGTTCAAATATTTACTAGCCTAGTGGCAAATGGTGCTCTCTCATAAACTCGCCAAATGAAACATCTAGTTGCATTTGGCGAGTGGCAAGTGTTAATTTCGGATCATGGGTTAGACAGCGGACCGCTCCAGTTAATCAAGCTAGAAACCACAAATCAGCCTCTAAGTCTGGATGTAGTGATGGACTCAGACCTGAACCTTCAGAGGCTTATAAAGACAAGGCTGGCTTTCTATCACAGAAAGAACATCTGCAGGAATAAAGGACTAATGTCTCAGGAGGACTTTGATTAACTAATTCACTCATTCACATTTAGTTGAATTGATCACTGCAGCGGTGTCTTCACAGGTCTGCCTAAGCATTGGATCAGACAGCTGCAGCTGATCCAGAACGCTGCTGCCAGTGTCCTCACTAGAACTAAGAAAGTGGCAGATGGCCGCTCACACTTAGCTTGATTCTGCTGGAGGTTTCTTCCTGTTAAAAGGGAGATTTTCCTCTCCACTGTAGTTAAAAGCATGCTGATGAAGATTCTCAGTCATCCAGGTCATAGTCATTCCGTAAAAGTTCAAAAAATATCCACTGGACTTGGTCACTTGGTAACCGATCGGTTACCATTTGCATGTTTCCGAGCAATACAAGGTCTTGTCTATATAAGACTCAAAGTCACTGTGGATCCAGACATTTGAATTGAGAAAGCTTCCTGGAGAGGTGGAGAAATGTCTTCAAATCTTGGAAACCAAGTCCAGTGGATATTTTTGAACTTTTACAGAGTTGCAAGCATGCTTGGTGTGAATGATTGCTGAGGAGTCAATAAGTTGATGCAACAAGCTGGTTTTCCTAATATGGAAAACTTTGAACCAATATAACTGTATGATCTGGTTGAATTGTTTAAATAAACTGAATAGAACATCAGCCCAGTTCTAAAGTCCCTCAACTGACTCGGAGAAGAGTCTATAAATCACTGAATGGCTGAGCGCTAGAATACACTACAGACTTGTCGTCAGTGGATCAACAGCCAGACCTAAGGTCTTCTGGATCCAATCTACTCTGCAGAACTAATAGTTAAAATTTTTGTTCTTATCCTCCACTAATCTGGAATAAACTCCCTGAAAACTGTAAAAGAGTTGTAACCCTAAATTACTTTAAAGCCAGATTAAAAACCTGTTTAGAGTGGCTTAGGACTGAGCTATCTAAACATTAATAGCTAAGTTATTAGTCCAACTTTTGTTCCGTTGGACTGAAAACTTAACTATTAATTAACATTTATAAAAAA